GCGAAGAAGTCGGTGAGTCGGGGCTGTGCCATGGCGGGACCGGGGACACGAACAGGGACCTGGTACCGCGCAGGACGGAAGCGGTGCCGCGCTCCGCGCCGATTTTCCCGCCGCGCCTGGCCCCGCCCCCCTCGGACGGAACCATCGGCGGGGGGGGCGGGGCGGCCGGGAAATGGACGCGTCCAGGCACATGCGCGTGGACGCTCTCGCGGCTGCGCAGGCGCGCGCAGGCGCCGCAGCGTGGTCCTCGTTGCGCCGGACTCGAGGTGGCGGGTGAGCTCGGCCTGGGGCGGACGCGGAGCCGGGAGAAGAGAGCGATGCCACGCTGCTTCCTGCTGAGGTTAACACCAGGCACCGTTGAGTGACGCTGGCCCTCGGCGGCGTCCCTGGGCAGGGTCGGCAGCCAGACCCCGGCGTCTCTCCGCGGGTGCGAATTCTGCGTCAGGGAGGCTGTTGTGCAAGGAAGAGTGACATTCGGGAGGATCGGGGAAGGGGGTGTTAGTCCCGGAGGGGCCGCTGCCGCCGGGGACCCTGCCGCCGGGGACCCGCGGGAGGCCCGGAGCGCCCTGTAGAGGGCCTCTCGGTGGGGGAAAGTGCCCGGAGGCGGCGGTTCCCGTGGGCGATGAGGGGAGCGGACAGCTACGCCCATGCTTTGGGAACAGCAGCTGCCCAGGGAGCAGGGTGGAAGGTGGCAGCCGGCGTGTTCAAGCCTAGGTTCTGTGACCTGTCTGTGGCGGTGTGTGCCCTGGGCCACCACGCTGGAGGCAGGCATTGACCTGCGTCGAAACGGACCTCTCCAAATGGAAGCCTGCTGTGCGTTACAGAGAGAAATGTGCAGGATCCTGGAACTGTAGTGACTGCACACATTCTAGGCACAGCCTCTTCGTAAGGCCAGCGGAGACAAGGGGACTTTGCAAATCTTTCCGTCTGTAGCTGCTTATCGGGAAGGAGGCAGCTGTCTTCTCTCCCAAATACGCTGTGGTTCCCGCGCGCGCTCTGTTTCACATTTAGAAAGTAAAGGAACACCTGGTTTTGAGAGTCCGGGCAGCTGGATCTAACCACAAGTGACTCCAGTATCTGGCTCCCAGCCCTTGCTCTCTAGATAAGCTGATGAGCAGGAGGCCTCCCCAGAGCTTCCGGAATGCTGAGACGTTTCTACCAGCATTTCATTTGTCTTGCCACCTGCCCGCCCACCAGCCTGGAACCACAGAGTGCTGACTAGGCTCATGCCCCCCAAGAGAGCTGAGTGAGGTGATGGGAGGCAGGGCCCCTCAGGAGAGGACACCCTGCCTGCCTGGCTCCACATGGCTGTGTGACAAGAGCATGCACTCCCAGGCACATCCACCTGGGGAGGACTTCTGGGAGGGAAAGAGTCATACATTGCTGTGTTCTGGCCAGCTCCCCGGGGGCACTAGTCTGGAGGTGGAAGCAGGCCCTAGGAGGCCCTGAGTGGCTCTGAGGATAGCTGAGGGGTCTTGTAGGATCCAGAACATGAATCCAAAATGTGTCGGTTCCAAGTGGGATGAGGCAAGTCTGGGGACATAACAGTGCTGTCTTCATTCGCTCCTCACAACCAGCCATCGGGAGGGGGGCATGCCATACAGCAGGAGCCTGGGGATCAACTCCAGTGCCAATGTCCGTCCCGTTGCAGTGTGTCTGGCCATGCCACTGTTAACTTTTTTTTTTTTTTTTTTAAAGATTTCATTTATTTGACAGAGAGAAACACAGAGAGGAACACAGAAAGAGGAAACACAAGCAGGGGGAGTGGGAGAGGGAGAAGCAGGCCTCCCGCCGAGCAGAGAGCCCGATGCGGGGCTCGATCCCAGGACCCTGGGATCACGACCTGAGCTGAAGGCAGACGCCCAACGACTGAGCCACCCAGGCGCCCCAACCACTGTTAACTTTTAATGTCACTCCTGGTGACTCGGCCTGTTTGGGATGACTTAAGCCTGTGGAGCAGCTGCTGCTTAGAAAATTGTCTGCCTACCTACAGTGATGGGGTTCAGCAGCCACCTCTGGAAGTTGTGACCCCCACCTTCCAGTCACCACTGATTGGATGACAGGCCCACAGCTGAACCGATCAGATCCTCTCCTTGGACCCAAGACTGGCATTGGAACCACCCTTCTGTCACCTCTGGCTGTGGGAAGTGAGATGGAGTAGGACAGCCACCGTCCTCCATGTGTATGGAGACAGAGATAGTGAGCAAGGGACCGTGTCACCCGGGGACACCCAGCTAGACCCAGCAGCTAACCCAGATGGTTTGCAGTGGTTCTAGTTTGCTGTCATGGGAGACCCACAGCCTTTCAAGATGGCCCGGGTTTTTATGGAGCAGCCTCTAGCCTCTCCCATACCTGTGTGTCTTTTGCCTAAAGTGCCTCTGAGTGAGTTTCTATTTCTTCCAACCCAAGGAGGCTGGATGAAAGCCTGGTCAAAAGGTTGATCCATATGCGGCTGCATTAATAAAAGTATAGAGTCTAGAATAAGGTAAGTGAATGCCCCTCTCTGCTCTGCTCTGCCCATGCTCCCCTGAAGTGTCATGTTGGCTTATAGGTGTGAAATGTTAAGGCTAGAATGTCTTCAGGAGAGAGAGAGAGATCAGCAGATCACAAAGGGGCTAGAACCCTTGTTTCTGGATGTGTACCCTGAAGAAACTGGGAGACTGGGGACTATGCCTTCATTCATGTGATCACCCGGTATTTACTGAGTGCCCACTGGGAGCCTGGCAGCCAAAGGCCCAGTACAGGTCAGGCCACTGAGGGTCCACTCTGTATCAGGTTGAGAACAAGACAGGAGGGCCCTGCCCTCAAGGAGCTCACATTCTAGTGGAGAGAGACAGAAATTAGTTTAATTAAAAAAATTTCAGGGGCGTGTGGGTGGCTCAGTCGGTTAGGCAGCTCAGGTCATGATCTCAGGGTCCCGGGATCAAGCCCCGCATCGGGCTCCCTGCTCAGCAGGGAGTCTGCTTCTCCCTCTGCCTGTGCTGCTCCCCCTGCTTGTGCGCTCTCGCTCGCTCACTCTCTGTCTCTCAAATAAATAAAATCTTAAAAAAAAATTTTTTTTTAATCATTTCAAATAAAGAATATAAAACCTGGTCATGAGATGGAGTGACTGGGGGGGCCACTTTAGATCTGAGGATTCAGGGAGGCCTCTTGGAGAGGATGACACTGAAGGGCAAGAAGGAAGGGCCTCGGGAATATCTGATAGAGGACACGGTAGGGAATAGAACCCAGACCACCATCACCACCACCATCATCATCGTTTTAACCACACTCCAAAAAATGGCTAGAGTTGCAGTATGTTCTGAGTTTGAGTTACAGCTGCGTCTGCCCAGCTGTAACTTCCCTAGAACCCATCCCACCTCCTGCTCTGCCTTCAAACATGAGCACAGCCCAAATGACTGCACCTCGACTGCTCCATGCTGCTGCTGTTGGCTCGGAACAGCCACTTCCCAGGGGTGTGCAGTGCCTGGCAATTTGCAAAGCAGCGCTACAAAACAGTAACAGCTGGGCTCTGTTGAGGTGTGCTTTGTGCGGGCCCCGTTCCCCACAACCGGGAGGCCTGACCTGTCTCACCCTCAGAGTGGACCTACGAGCCATACCCCATTTGTGGGTGAAGAAGCCAAGACTTGAAAGGCATAAAACTGGTGCCCCAAGGAGCCTGCTCTGCTCGCCCACCTCCACCTCTCAGTCGGTGACTCCTTCCCTAAGAGACCAGACAGTAGCAGGAGAGGATGGAATTCAGGCTTCGGGGATCCCCTGAGCCCTGATAGAGCCTGTCACCTGCTGCCACGGGGGCGATGTTCATAGCCAAACCTGGAGGCAGCTTGACCTTCAGTGAAGACATTTGGGTCTCAGCCTGCAACTTGGCTCTTTGTCCACCAGATGTGATGGGACAAATGGGAGGGTGAAGAAGCTGCTGCCGCCCACAGGCTGAGTGGCCTGGGAGGCTTCCTCTCCTCCCCAAGCCTCACAATCATACTTATCAAGGGGACCTCATGGAACGCGCTCTCAGCAGAGACCTGGGAAAGCGAACGTAGCTTCAAGTTCCGATAGGACGGTGACCGCATCAACAGCGGAGATGTTTGCAGAGAATGTCAGGGTGGGAATAGGGTACACTGTGTCTTGATCCACGTGTGAGCGTCCAGAGCCGCAGCCCCAACAGAAACGTGGTGGGGGCACAGGTGTAACTTTACCTTTTCTCGTAGCTACGTTAAGAAAGTAAAAAGAACCAGGTGACAGTCATTTTAAAGTATATTTTTACTTTACCCATCATATCCCAAATGTTACCATTTGAACAAGTAGCCGATATAAACTTTATTAATGAGCTATGTCACATGGTTCACCACCGTCCAATCACAACCATCACTAAGTCCTAGTTAGTACTTAAGTGCAGTCCGCCCTCCACACCTTACAGCACCTCTCAACTTGGAGCACGCTCAATTTTCACAGAAATACTTGATCTTTGGTCAGATTTCATTAAACTCGCAGCTGGAAACGGGCTCTTGTGCCCAAGTTGTTCTGAGGAGACATTTCCTGCAAGTGCAGGGGAAAGGCCAGGTCCCAGCGGGCTGGAGGCTGCAGGGCGAGAGTCCCCACGACAGGGCGGCCGGGCACAGGGCAGAGAGGGCGCGCGTCGAAACGCAACGGAACACCCCGGGCCTCCGGCCCCGGCCCGCGGGAGAACGCCCACCCGCGAGACTAGGCCTCGGGCGCAGCCCTGCGCTGTCAATCACGCGACGGGGCGGGGCGTAACTCCAGAAGGGGCGGTGTCTGCGTGGGGCGTGGCCGGAAGGATGGGGCGGGGCCAGGTCGAGTCGACGTGGACCGGTGGAGCGTGGCTCCCGGGGCTAGGTTAGGGGCGCCGGGGCTGGGCGTGGCCGGGAGTGGCAGGGGAGGTGCCATCGGTGGGGGCGTGGCTCAATGGTGGGCGTGGCCGGAGCTGAGGCTGGGTCGCGAATTCCGTCTCCGCAGACCGAGGGGGCGGGCCCCGCTGCGGCGCCAGCTTGTGAGGGTCGCCGGGGTCACCTGGGTCACCTCAGCCCGAGGGTCCTGCAGGCTCCGCGCCTCCTGTCCTGACCCCTGCTGCCCTGTCCTCCGTAGAAAGGCGGCCCCCGTGACGATAAGAGCTCACGGGAGAATGCCTGGAACCGCACGAAGAACCTGCGGAACAGTCAGGCCTGAACCCAGGACCTTGCTCCGGGCCCCGCTCGCCGCCGCACCCCCCTCCGCCGTGGCCCTGGACTACCCTCGGGAGGTTCGTAAATGTCCCTCACCTAAGGACTTTGGGGGCCCTGCCACAAGCCACTCCCGATCCAGGTGGGTTAGCTGTGCCCTGCGCTGGGGGGGCTCACAGTCCTGCGGAGTGGAAGGCATGTGCTCTGCGCTTTGGGGGCCCAGCGCTGCCCTTGGGGGCGCTCACAGCCCTGCGGTCGGGGGCTCAGTCCTGCGCGCAGGGGGCTCACAGCCCTGCGCTCGGGGGGAGGGGCTCACAGCCCTGCGCTCGGGGGGAGGGGCTCACAGCCCTGCGCTCGCGGGGAGGGGTTCACAGCCCTGCGCTCGGGGGAGGGGCTCACAGCCCTGCGCTCGGGGGAGGGGCTCACAGCCCTGCGCTTCGGGGAACTCACAGCCCTGAGCTGGGGGTGCTCAGCCCTGCGGAGCTGGGGGTGCACAGCCCTGCGGAGCGCTTCGGGGGTCTCACAGCCCTGCGCTCGGGGAGTGCACAGCCCTGCGGAGCCGAAGGCTCCTCCCGAACTCAGGAGCCCACTCTGCAGTGAGGAAGGCCCATTCGACAGCATCCACTGCGCTCCCACTGGGTGCTGGGCACTGTGCAGGGGCCGGGGGACCATGGCAGTGCCCACTGGGGTAAGTGAAATTTAGTCAAGGGAAACCCCATTAAAAGGGAGCCGGCGGGTCGGCAGGGGGAGCTCTCCCGCCCTGCCACCGCCTGTCCATTGCAGACCCAGCAGGAAGAGGGACTCGGCCTTCCACGGACTTGACCTTGCCCGTGGATACCACTCTACTACTACAGCCTGAGGAAGGGAGCTGGTCTCATGACCTCCCCGCCCCCACACACAACGGCTCCCTCCACCGATGGGAAGCCACCACACTTCCGGTCCCGGTTCACCCCACTGGACTTCTAGTTCATAACAGCACTCCCAACCACCTACTCCTTCCCTCCTTAAAAAAGCACGCCTCTCCTTTGTTCCTCACACTCGCCTATGGTTTTGCTGCCGCTCATTTGTCCCACACTGCACTTCTTCTTTATTCCCTAATCCATCTTTTGCTGGTAAAATATGGGGCAGGGTCTAACATAACACACCTTAAACAGGTCTGTAAACAGGTGCTGTGAAGTCAGCTTCCCCTGGGCCAGCCTTACCTGGCAGAGGTGGACTGCGGAATGACGTTTCGACGGCGACCTGAGTTTTCCCAGAGCCAGCAAGGAGCAGCTCTGGAAAGCCAGGGTTCCTGCAGCCTGGCAGTGAGGGGGGGTGGTGCTGACAGGAGAGGGCAGGCAAGGTCATTTTGGCCTCACAGAGCACTTTGGTCTTAAGCCCTGGAAGCCTACACTCAGGAGTGGTGAGGCCAGGTTCCATCCGGGCGGAAGCCTGAGGGGTGGGAGCCAGAGAGAGGCTGAGGCTGATACTTGGGCAGAAGCCTATGACTTTGGGGGCGCCTGGCTGGCTCGTCAGTGGAGCATGAGACTCATCATCTCAAGGTTGTGAGTTCGAGCCCCGCATCATCTGACTTTAGTGTAGAAGGGGTGGGCTGAAGATCAGGTCAGATGCCGGCTCATTCATCAACCTGTGTGTGTGGCCTTGGGCACGCGGCTGCACGTATGGGTGACACGGCGTCGCCAGGGTCCGTGGCCCACGCGTGTAGCATGCTTGCATGCCGGAGCGCTCAAGGAGCGAGAACTGAGCAGTCATGAGGAACAGCGGCAGAGCGCGACGTACCCAAGAACAGGACAGGGAAGGCCCGACCCCAGGCTTTGGGCGTGGATGGGAGGGACAGCATACCTGTGTGGCTGGGCAGGAATGGTCAGCAGACCACCAAGGGCTCATAAGACCGCAGAGGAGTTTGCACTTCCTCCTGGGGCTGGCGGGGAGAGAAGCGGCAGACAGATCTATGTGAAGAGTAGACCCGTCGGTTGCTGTGGAGGACAGGTGAGGGGCAGGGGGCTGTGGAAGCCCCACTGCTGAGAGAGGACAGACGTGGGCAAGGAGGAAGGGCTGAGTGCAGCCCAGCAGGGCCGCCAAGTGACCACATGGGGCCTTGAGTGGCTCTGGCCCGTGGTGAGGAGGTGGGGGCTCAGGACAGGAGAGGGAAAGGGCAGGTCCCGGGGCCCATGGAGGCTTTTTGCCTGGACCTTGATGGAGTGCTGTCCGCCAGGCAAGCCCTGACCACACAGCCCCACCCCGAAGTCTCTGGAACGTGGGTGTGGGGCCAGGGGCGTGGTCTCTGCTATTGTCAGATCAAAGGCTATTGGGTATCACACATGTTCTTGGCCGGGGCCTCTCTCGACCCGGATTGACAGCAGGGCCCAAGGCAAAGCCTCGCGCAGGACTTTGGGTGGTGGGCCCTGCAGGGAGCCTGTGAGAACGGGACAGCAGGGGGGCTGGAGGGCACCCGTGGAAGACCCATCTCTGCTCAAAGCTGGTGGCTCAGCCACACAGGACCATCCCTCAAAAAGCCAAGGAGATCACATCTGAGGACTGTGCAGGGGAGAAAGGAGAAGAGTGCATCCACCAGCTCTCATGGGTCAGCTACACTCCTCTTTCGGACCTGGTCAGGGATCACAGAGCTCTGGGCCCCATTGGGGTTGGGGGCCTGTGTGTTTCTGTGGTCTCTTGCAGGTGACGTGCCCACTTCAGGGGTGCAGAGTTACCTGAGGCAGAGCCCTGGGGAGCTCTGTCGCAGGGGGTCAGAGCTGCTGGAGCAGAGCATGGTAACCACCCGGGCTGTCAGGCCTGCTGGGGTGGCCCAGAAGATGGGGGGAAGTTTGCCAGGTGGGGAGAGGGCCTTCCCAGCAGAGGTATGGCAGAGAGCAAGGCTTTGGGGGGACCCACGCAGCCCTGCATGTTTTGCACAGGCAGTGAAGCGATGTGGCCGGTGGCCCCAGCACTGGGACAGGGTGCCCAGAAACCCTGCGGGGGACCCAGGATCCTGAGGAGGACAGTGACGTGGTCAGGCTCCCCGCGCCTGCCTCCTGGGCCTGAAGGCTCAGGACCTCCCGTCTCCTTCCTTGGCTCCCGGCTGCTTGCTCTTCCATGGCTGTGCTCTGCTCTCAAGGGCCGGGGCCCTGCTGCCCACTGTCCGCTTGCTGCAGGCAAGGGGGTGCCTTCCCCCCTTCCCTGCACCTGAGCGAGCTGGTGGGTGACCTCCATCCGTGGGACCACAGTGAGGGGCTCTTGTCAGTACCGGTCCAGTGACAGTAAAGAAAACCAGTAGTAACTGAAGGGCCAGCAGGGGACCAGCAGAAAGCTGGGAAGCGCCCAGGCCGGAGGGGGCGGGGACTTCCTCAGTTAAGCCTACTTCAGGAAGTTTCCTGCAAAGGGGGAAGGCTCGGGGTGTGCCCAGCACCCGCTCCACTCTTGAGCTGCTCTAGCTGTCCCGACCCCGGAAGTGCAGGCAGGGAAAGGGCCAAGTGTAGGGGGCAGCCAAGCCTGCACACGGGCCGGGCACTCCTCCTGCTTCCACCAGGCTCCCGGGAGAGCACGGGCCACATGTGAGGGTGCCTGAATCAGCGGGGCTGGAGGTGCCCGTGAGCGCCCAGGGAGGGCCAGATAGCCTGCTTTGCCAGGGCCAGGACCTCCCGCTGCTCTGCCCGCCCCCACGGGGCCCAGCTCAGCCCCGATTGGGAAGCTCACTGCTGAGCCTCCCCTGCCCAGACCCCCTGGGTTTGCCGCCCATGGCTTCCTTCCTGGTGTCGCTGGGGGCAGTAAGGTGTCAGAATTTCCCACCGTGAGAGAGTAAGGCGGAGCATGTAGAAGCCGGCTGGCCTGTGCGCTGTGGAGAAACAGGCGTCCTCTCCGCCTTCACACCTAGCTCGGTGAGACGGAGCGCGTCCCTGGAAGAAATGAAGCCCCTGCCCAGAGAGGCCCTGAGTCCTCGCAGCAGCCCGGCCTCCCTGCTGTGAGGGCCTCCCCGGGACCCGCCCAGGACGGGAGGTCAGCCGCGGAGTCGGGCGCTGCCCTTCTCTGGGCTCAGTTTGTTCATGTGTTACAAACCCTCTGGTCTTGGTGGCTTTCTTTAAAATTGCTGGTGCGCTATTGATCCCTGGCCCAGATCCTAATTGCGAGATGGGGTGATGGCCTGTCCCTCTCATCCTAAACGTCTGTTCGCGGTGCATCCCGGGCTCTGGCGGGGCCGCAATGAGGACGGCCAGGTGGTGGCTCCTCACTCGCCGGACGAGGGATCTCTCCACGTTTGACCTGTTTGCTCCCCTTACTTTCTCTCTCTCTTTCTTTCTTTTTTAGATTTTATTTATTTATTTCAGTGAGAGAGAGAGAACAAGCAGACCCCCCACTGAACAGGAAGCCCGACGTGGGACTCGATCCCAGGACCCCAGGGTCCTGAGATCCTGACCTGAGCCAAAGGCAAATGCTTCACCCACTGAGCCACCCAGGCGCCCCTCCTCTTTCTTTCACCTGCTTTGTGCAAGTTCTGATGCCAGACATTTTTCACAGCCCCTCCTCCCACCCTAAAAGCCATCTGGATGGTGGAAGTGACCCCATTTCACTGGGGGAACTTGCTCCCCGAGGTCAGCCCGCCCTCTTCGACGCAGCCTTGGTCTCTGCCACTCTGTACCACCCCCTCTGCTTCACCCTGTCCCCACTGCTGCCAGGGACAGTTGTCCTTCCCGTGGGCAGGCAGAGCTGGAGAGGCACCAGATGCTGTTGTGGGACAGGCCACGGAGGTCTGGGCAGGGCCATCAGTCACTTGAGGCCTCTCGCCCGTGCTTGCCCGGGGGGCCTGTCAACTCCAGGGGACACTGGACACTGGTCAGGCTCATTGCCGTCAGCCCCTTGCTCGATCTTAGTCCCTCCCATCATCCTGTCCACCTGCAGGCGGTTTTACTGCTGAGATGGGGGTAAGGAAACTGCTGACAAAGCTCTAAAAATCAGGTTCATGTGGAAAATGCCAATTACTCATCAGGTGACGTTTACCAGCTGCAGGTGTGGGTTTCAGGACCTACTTGATTCCTGGTAGAAGTTTGTGAAGGGCGCCTGGCCTCACGCACCTGTGGGCACATCTCTGCGTCATGGGCTCTAACTCGGCCGGCCTGTGAGGCCAGCAGTGGGTTCCAGACCCGACCTGGTGTTGCTGCTGACTCTGGTCCGCTTACGTCCTGAGCAAGGACAAAGCTGAATGGCAGCAAGGACGCAGGGTCACCAGGCCAATTCTGGGTGGGTGGGTGGATCGGAGGACACAGTTCCACGAGGCTGGCTCTGTGCTGCAGGTGGACAGGGCTTGTAGGAGAATCTGGGCCTCTATGGAATGGGGTGTGCCCTGACTTTCCGCTGGATCGGGTCCTGTTCTTTGCTTCCAGGAAAGGGGAAACTGAGTGGGAATGTACTCGGGGAAATAAAATAACTCCCCAGAAGCTCGTCAAGTTTTTGGCCAGCCGTCAGGAAAACAACATTCAGAAGAAAGAGCGAATGTGGTTGGCTCTGGGGAGACTCCCGGGTGGGAGGAAGACTCGGGGTGGGCTGCTCAGAAATCATCTTGACCGCGAGTTAAGTGAGCTGTTTCTGGGCTAAAAATCCACAATAGAAGACGTAACACTTTCACCCTGAAGCGTACGATTCAGCAGCACCAAGCACATTCACGAGGTTGCACAACCACCACCACAATTTCCCAAACTTTCTCCTCGTCCCAACAGAAACTCTGGCCCCGTTAAGTAATAACTCCCCATACCCTCCCTCCCTCCCTCCCGGGAACTGCTAGGCTAGTTTCCGTGCCTACGAGTCAGCCTGTCCCGGATGTTTTGCGCAAACGCCATCACACAGTGTCTGACCTCTTCGCTTGGGATGGTGTGCTCCCGGGTCATCGGCACACACGGTGGTGGGCCGGCCCTTGGCTCCTGCTTATGGCTGGATAACCTTCCCTTGTGGGTTGTGCTCCATTGTATCTGTCCATCAGTTCGCGGACACTTGGGTGGTTTCCTCCTGAAATTCATGTTTGCGTGTGGGCAGGAAACAACGCCTAT